ATACCAGGTTATATAGATCTACAGCAGCTGTCCCCTAGATTAAGATACTTGCTGAAGAAGAGCTGAAGAGCACAGTTGGCCAGAGTTGCCCCACTTACACATGGGCTCCATCACAGGTTCTACCTGCACACAGGCCAACTTGTACCCCTCTCTGTACCTTTGACTGATGAACAGACTTAAGGCAGGGTGAAGTAGAGGGCCCGCAGGTTCAACTAGGACTGCCACCCTGAACCTGGGAGGATAGCATTAGGCCCCAAGACTCACCTAACACTTTTGGCAAAGAAGTGCCAGGCAGGTTGCAGTGACCAACTGCCAAGCTACCATGGAAGGAGTAACAGCAGGAGCTGATATGTGCTGTTCACTATGAGACCAAGATCAAGGCATGGTTTTACAGGCACTCCATCCCTCTTCAATTTTCAAGTTATATTTCCTATAGGTAGTGCTCCTCGGAGAGCCACTCTGCTTAGGAGGAGATAGGCTGAGAAAGCTTGTGTGTCTTGCTTAAGATCACCCCACCACAAGGTAGAGAGTTGGGACTTAACCTCACAGTATATAGCTCTGAGTGCTGCTCCTTACCATGCATGACACTTTGCCCCCAAGGAAGACCTTTGCTGATGGGTAATTGAAAGGGTTCCCCTTGGCTTTTACTGAGAATCAATACAAGAAACAGCCATATCAAGAAAGCTACATTTTCTGTAAAGCCTTTATTAAAGTTAGTGTATTTTATTCTGTTTTCCTTATATAAGTATCCAATCATAACTCCTTAGGATTTAGCACCGAGCTCTTGGAGTCTCACCAGACATTCCCGTTGCCTTGGAGGCAGGAAACTCAGCCCTGAGTAAATGCTCACTCGCTGCCATTTTCTTTTTTTTTTTTTTTTAATTTTTTTTTTCAACGTTTATTTATTTTGGGGACAGAGAGAGACAGAGCATGAACGGGGGAGGGGCAGAGAGAGAGGGAGACACAGAATCGGAAACAGGCTCCAGGCTCCGAGCCATCAGCCCAGAGCCCAACGCGGGGCTCGAACTCCCGGACCACGAGATCGTGACCTGGCTGAAGTCGGACGCTTAACCGACTGAGCCACCCAGGCGCCCCATTCGCTGCCATTTTCAAGTGAGAAGCTGGGAATGACAAACTTGATGCTCCCTTACTCTATTCTATAGTTTTTCCTGGAGCTGGAGGTATGGCTGAAAGGTCTTGTGAAACCTCAGGTACACAGCTGCTGAGGGACCAATCGTGGTGGCATCAGGGCCCAGATCATGCAGTCAAGACTTTGCTTTCTAGTAGCCTGTTTCAAGGGGTATTCTATATGCTTCCCCAATCAGGGTTTGTACTCTCTAAGAGATGGAAAAGAGTATGACAAAGATCATGGAAACCTGCAAGACAAATGTGGGGTGCCTTCCTCAATGAAAAGAAGAAATTCCTGTCTATGGTGCTCTTAGTTTCTCTAAGGCAGGGATTTAGTTTTATTATTCTGTTCAGAACTCACTCTGTTTCCAAACTGAGGCTTCAACATTTGAGTTAAGCCTGTGAAATACCAGATACTCCCTCTTGACAAAACTGCCCCACAGCATGCCCTCTTTGGGGGAACTCTTGCTAGGGCACACTGTTCCTTCTGTCTGCCCTCCTATCTCTAGCCTCTCCTTCTTACATTCCACTTTCTCACCTCCACACCAGTCAGTTCCTAAGATGTAATGCTCTGTTCAGCTGGGTTTCATCTGCTGTTGGACATGCTTACCATGGCTTTTCAATTGCAATGATTTTTATTTTTCTTTGCTAAAAGTAATTTCTGGCTTATTTCCAAGTCTATCCGGTCTTTTTTACGGTACATTATTTCTTTTGAGCCATAATTCACATACCACAAAATTCATCATTTTAAGATATAGATTCAGTAGTTGTTTTTTTTTTTTTTTCCCCTATCTAACACCAGAGTAATTTCATAATACAGAAACTCTGTACCCACCAGTGACATCCTAACCTCCTCTCTCCTCAGCCCCTGGCAAGTACTAATACTTTCTGTCTCTGTAGATTTGCCTATTCTGGACATTTCATAGCAATGGAATTGGACAATATGTGGTCCTTTGTGACTGACTCCTTTTATTTAGCATGTTTTCAAGGTCTGTCTGTGTGGCATAACATTTAAGTACTCTATTCATTTTTACTGCCAAATTATTATTTGTATTACTATGCAAATAGCTATTTGTATTATTGTACAGATATACCACATTTTGTTTATTCATCAGTTTATAGACATTTGAGTTGTTTCCACTTTGTGGCTATTATGAGTAGCACTGATATGAACATTTGTGTACAAGATTTAAAATAAATATAGGTTTTCAGTTCTTTAGGTATATATGTAGGTGTGGAATTGCTGGGTTACATGGGGACTCTATGTTTAACCATTTCAGAAACCATCAGATTGTGTTCCAAAGCAGCTTTTATAATCCCACCCAGCAGCATTTTATAATCCCACCAGCAATTCATGAGAGTTCTGATTTCTTCCCATCCTCACCAACACTTTTCACTATGTGACTTTTTGATTATTGTCATCCTGGTGGTTATGAAGTGGTATCTCATTGTAGTTTTGATTTGCATTTCCCTGATGACTAATGATGTCGAGTCTTTTTATGTGTTTATGGGTCATTTATGTATCTTTGGAGAGATTTCTATTCAAATCCTTTATTTTTAAATTGGGTTATTAGTCTTTTTATTGTTGAGTTATAAGTTCTTCATACATTTTGGTCCTAGATCTTTATCAGATGTGACTTACAAATATTTCCTCCCATTCTGTAGACTGTCTTTTCACTACGCTGATTATGATCTTTGAATCACAAAAGTTTTAAATTTTGATGAAATCCAATCTATTTTTTCTTTAGTTGCTTGTGCTTTAAGTGTTATATCTAAGAAACAGTTGCCTAATCTAGTGTCATATAGATTTACATCTGTGTTCTAAGAGTTTTAAAGTTTTAGCTCTTACATTTAGTTCTTTGACCCATTTTAAGTTAATTTTTGTATGTGGGATGTTTACTAACCTTTCCTCACATTTTGTTTTATCTTTCATGTCTTTAAGTATACTTACAGTCTTTACCTGGCAATTCTCTCTTCTATGATCAAATTTATAAAAAAGTCTAAACCTGTTCATTATGTCTCCTGACATTTGTATGTAATACACTGTTTCTTCATGTGTTTTGTTACTTTGGATTTTGAGAGTCCCTCTTTGGCAGTGCTTTGTCAGTGGGAATGCTGTACTTGCTGGGGTGAGGGAAATGGCAGTGGGGATTTGCACTGGTTTTGCCAAGGGCCTCTGGGTGTTAATTAGTCAAAAATCTCCTTTTGTGTTCATTTCTTTGTTTGATGATTTCGAGATGACGTGGTTAGTGTTAAACATCCCCAAACCACAGGAGGGCAGGCCTGTGGCTGTACAGTCTGTTTTCCTAACCCTGAGGACTGGCTGAGATATTTCAACTTCTTGGCCATGTTCTCATGCTGCCCTTCAGGCTTTTTCTGTCCTCTCTCTCACTAGAGGTATACTTTGTCAAGAAGTTTGACTTAATGTTAGTGCCTTAGTTCCAACCCACTACATGGCTCAGGCCCAAGGCCCTGTCTTGAATCTTTGAGGCCATTAAAACTCAAGGTTACCATGTAGGTAACCCCTCCCAGCCCAACACCCTGGTCATTTTGTTTACTCTTAGATTTTGGCTCCAGGGGATTTCCCTTACTTTATCATCAACTGGTTACATGTTTTAAGGATATGTATTGCAGTTCATCCACCATTTCAAAGTACTGAGCAGCAGGAAGGTTTTCAGATCCTCCATACTACAAGACAGAGAAACTGCTAGATAAAGAGATCGTGTGGAATACCTGTATACTAAAACAGGCATGATCACACTATAGAGTAGAATACAAGGTCCTGCACCAAGGTCAAAGATGCAGTAGCTGACCTGAGAGTCCTCCCATGCTGGTCTCCAGAGGCCGTTCTCCAAGGAGAACAAATTCTGATTAGACAAGCAGTTTTGAGATCATGAGTCAAGTCCTGGGGACAGCATATTACAGCTTTAGCTCCAAGACATAGTCTACTGCAAGGTCAGGTCTCATCACAAATGCTCCCTTTGTTGAGTGCCTGTTGGTTGTGTGGTAACTGCAAGAGTCTGTGACAAATGTCCTGCATTTAGCTGATAGTGGCAAAGGCTAGGTAGGGTGCTGCTGAGCCTGTCGTGTCAAGCTGGGGTGCAACCTCAAGAGGACATCACTTAAGGCCTTGGCACCTCTGTAGGAAGCTGGCCCAGCCCACCTCTAACTCCCCCAAACCCCTACCTCACTGGGCTATGCAGTGAACTCTGTCGTGGTGGACTCATGGTCATGGAGCTGGGGACACACTCCCCAGGAATCAGAAAAGCTCTGTGCCAACAAACCCACTTGCTCTAGCCACCTCAGGAGGACTGTAATTCCAAGAAATAGGCTACATCCCATGTGGCTTGGTTGCCGTGTGCTAAGGGAGATGCAGAGAATGGGGCGAGTAGCATAGAGCTTGTAAGAGCTCAGAAGCTTATATACTTGCATGAAGACCTCTTCTCTATCATTTTTATCTCTGCTCCCAAACACCTGGTCAGTGTCTGAGCAGGCCATTACTTCCATGATGCGGCAGTATCACAGCCTTCTATTTCCCCACCCAATCTCCCATTCTTCTTCTAGGCAAACTCGGTTCCATTCAAACAATGACCTTGAACTCCACAGAGCCTCTGCACTGACCAGCCCTTGTGGTGTTGTTGCGCTCGATGTTCTTTGTGTCTGTTCTGTACCCGCCATGGCTTCTTCCAATCATTTTCCCACTTGGAAAACCTGCTCCTTTCTCCTTGGACTCAGGGGCTCCTGAGTCCACAGGGACCAGAGTGTGCTCCTGCATGGGAAAGCAGGCTGCTTGGTGGGAAAGTGGCTGCTGCACTGCTAGCTGAGATTGTGTCCTACTTGGTCTCTTGGGGCCCCACACAGCCACCACCTACCTTTCCACAGTTGTTGGAGTCACACTGGTCAAGGCAGGAGCACCTGGCGTGGCTTTAGACCGCTCGGTGAATCGGGAGTCAAATGCTTTCATGGGTTCAATCTTGGACGGGGTTGTTAACACGGAGGGTGACGATGCAGCAGGAGTAGAGGTAGCATTCACACTGGGGGTGGGGAGTAAGAAGATGGGAGAGTACGTTAAGCACAATCCATCAAGCATTTGGGAGTCCTACATTTGTGTTATCGGGAGCCAAATAAAAGGGCCACAGATATCAAACTTCTATAAATACAATTTCAAGATGTAATCTACTATTCTTATTTCTTCAATATTTTCATCTGTAAAAATCAGGAAGTTTGGGTAGTGAGAAGGTCATGAGCAAATGCACTCACATTTGCCCCACTGTATTGTTGTGAGAGATTCTAGAGGTAGCATGAGGCCTAGAAAGTGGCTCTTACAACCTTTCTCACTATACAGCCCTACCTCCACAACTTGAATACAGCATTTCCATCCCAAACCACTCCAAACCACAGCAGCTTTTCCTACTTTGACTAATGGTCTAACAAGAAAAGTCCCCACCCAGGGTCCTGAAGTCACTGTCTATTCCCAGCCTTCATGCTCAGCCAAACACACTGTGGCCTGGGAAGCCCCGCTCTCATCCCGCCCTGGCAATATGCGATCTTCATACTCTCCTCCAAGTGTTCATCTCATAGCCCTTGTCTTCTCCACAGAGAATAGGCCTAGGCATGAGCCTGTAAGTTTCCCCCATGCCCAAGCACATCACACATGCTGAGTCCCAAAGCCACTGGGCCTCCTACTGACCACATCCACCCACCTGGACCCCACAACAGACACCTGGCAAGCATCCTGGAGTTCCTTCCTCCTCTCCCAGGACCTGCAAGGCCAACTGTTAAAATGTCTCACAGATCTGGAGCTGTCTATCCTTCCCCAGACACCCTTCCTGAGATGACTGGTGTGGCAATGATCTCCACCGTGCAGTGGGGGCCTAAGCCACTTCAAATGTAGAACTGCTGGAAAGTGGGGCTGACCCTGGGGCAGGCAATGCATCTCTGGGTGGTTCGCACCCTTAGGAGTGAGGAGTGCATCTTGGGACTGCATCTTGCCCCAGGAGGTGAAGTCCTCATGGCCCTGTGCATCAGACTCACCTGAACAAGGTCTCCCTCCCAAGCAGGACCTCATCAAAAATCAAGCACCTTTCTTTTTTTTATCGAAGGAGCCATGAAGTGTCAGCGGAACTGTGTCCAAATTTGAACTTTCCCCAGGGACAGGAGCAAGCCTTGGCATGCCCACTCACCTGTCCTTACTGGCAGTATCACCAGCCGGCCTGGCACCAGCTGTCGCCACAGGCTCTGTGGAGGGCTTCGAGGCGCCAAAGGAGTTGGGGGTACTGGAGTCGAGTGGCAGTAGCTGTGGATTGCTATGAGAGGAGAGCATGGTGCCCGCCAGGGAGCCCGAGAGTGGGATGCTGTTAAAGAATGCCGTGGAGAAGTCCCTGTTGTCAAGAACAAAAATCAGCCTGGGAAATCAGACACATCAAGTACTTTCTATGTTTGAAGTGATTTTTTTCTGGGTCCAAAGGTGAAGTATTTTCATGGAAGAAAATGTGCCAAGTCGCAGAAAAGTAAAAAGAAAACTAAAATTATGTCATACATTATGTGTAATTGAACCTAAGATGAACTGATACTTCATGTGCCACTAAGAAAGAAGAGGTTATTACCAACTGTAACTGTCAGAAGCTCCTGATTATAAGATGTACCCTAATCTCAGAAATGTTAAAATATGCAGGCGTGTGTCTCAGAACTGATGAAATGCAGCACACAGAGCAGGACTCTCTTTCATTATGGGCTGTGTGGATATACGATAATTTACCTAACCAGCCTCTACTGCAGAATGCCAGCGCTGTCTCCCAGCTTTTTCTGTAACAGACACTGCTGTCACAGGTGGCAAGATACTGCAGTGTTAAGGCTAAGGGCCCCGGGCCAACCTGGCCAGGTTTTACTCCTTTGCCATGAACAAGCTCTGGGACCTTGGGCACTTCAACCACTCTGTGCTTCAGGTTTCTATCTGCAAAACAGAAATTCACAGAACCCTCCTGAGACTGGGACTAACGTGGTTAGTGTAGCACACACTTAGAACACATAGTAGCTGCTCAAAGATGCACCCTGTCATAATCATCAGTACAACAGTTGTTTCACAGATTACATGAGATAAATTCCTAGAAGTGGAATTTCAGCAGCAGATGGAATGTTCATTGATGAGTTTTGATAAATAGTTCTAAAGTGCCTTCCTTGGAGGTTTAAATTCCAGCTGTGTATCAGAGTGCTTGCTTCCCCAAACCGTCACCAACAGTTTTACCAAATTTTTTGATACTTGACAATTTGATGAAAAATGGTACCTTACTATAGTTTTAATAATTTGCAATTACTTTGATGCGAGGTTGAGATTTTTTCATGCGGAAGCATATGATTTCCTTTATCTGGTGAACTGTTTATATTCCTTATTTATTGTTCTATCTGGTTGTCTTTACTATTGATTCCAAGACCTATTTACATATCTAATAAATTCCTTACACGAGCAGGAAGTATTTTCCCCAGGATGCTGGGGTTTTTTTTTTTGTTTTTGTAAACACTTTATTTTTAACTAATTTCTATACCCAACAGGAGGCTTGAACTTACAACCCCGAGATTAACAGTTGCATGTTCTTCCAACTGAGCCAGCCAGGTGTCCCCATGATGCTGTTTTGACTCTTTATAGTACAATTTTCCTTGCACCCAAAATGTTTTTTGTGTGGACTAAATTTTGTGCCATAGATCATAAAAATATTCTTTTAAAGAATCTTCTAAAATTTTAAACAAAAAAGTTAAAAAAAAAATCTGAGTTGCTTGGAATGTATCTAATTTTAAGTTGTGATGTAGGGATCTAACTTTGTTTCTATAGGTAAGTAGTCCTGACCCTCTCTCTCTCTCTCTTTCTTCCTCTCTCTCTCTCTCTCTCTGATGTAATGTAATTTATTACATTAGCTGATGTTTCATCACTGATGCAAAATGCCACATAAATTCCCATAAATATTTGGGCTTACTTTTGCGTTTTCTACTGTATTCCACCATTCTGTCTATTCATATGTCAGTACCCATTTTATTACAGTTTATAAGTTTTAATTTCTGGTGGGGCTAGTCTTCCCTGATTTTCTTTTTCAGAAATATTTCAGTTATTCCTGCTTATTTTTCCACACAAGTTTAGAATGAGCCTGTCTGATTCTGAAAACTCCTGTTGGTTATTTGTATGGGCTCATGTTGAGAGAGATTTATCATTTTTATAATGTCAAATCATCCTAGGGAAGAAATGGATGTACATTTCTAGTTATTTCTTTGAATTTTCTTTTAGGTCACTCAGGATTTTATAATTTTTCTTCATAAAGACCTTCTACATTTCTTGTTACGTTGTAGGCACTGCATTTGTGAAAGTGATCTTCTAAAGGTAGTTGCTGCCACTCGGATCTCATTGTGTTGATTGTATCCACTTTATTATCTTCTTTTATTATCTATGGCAGTTTTCCCAGTTGATTCTCTTGCAGATCACACCATCTTTTAAATAATGATACATCTTCCCACCTCCTTTCCAATATATTCTTTCTCTTGACTAATTGTATGACCTAGGACTTCCAGAACAATGTTAAATAATAGTTACCAGACTAGATGCATGCTTAGTTTTTGAATTTACTTTAAAATAAGGTAGTTTTTAAGTTAAGGAAGTGCCCATCTGTTTAAATAAATTTTAAATCAGAACAATGTTGAATTTAATAAAAATGTCTCTTAGGCATCTATGGAGATGACCATATATTTCTTTTGATCTTTTGATATGCAGAAGCAAATTAAATTTCCCCAAATTTGAACCACCTTGCTTTCATGAAATAAACCTTACCTGGTCATAGCGTATTAACATTTTAACACACTGTAAGTTTGTTATTTTATTTAGCATTTTTGCATTGGCGTTCAGAAATGAGATTGATCAGGAATTTATTATGTTCTACCTTTGTCATGTTTTTGATGTAAATCTGTGTTCATTTCAAAAACAGTTTTGTAATGCACTAGAGTATTTTCAAGTATTTTGAATGGTATTAGAATGATCTGTTCCTCTAATTATTAGAATGAAACTTTCTTATAATTTCTCTGTGAAACCTTCTTAGTCTGGTGGCTTTTGGTAGGTTAGTTCTGGGACAGCGTCCTCTATTTCTTCTATAATAATTCATTTGTATAGATTTTCTTCAGTTTTCATAATTTTATTTTCCTCAAAATCACCTACTTTCAAATTTATTTACACAGAATTCAGTAAAGAAGTCTTTTGTCCTTTTGATTTATTCTTTATCTGTGATTACTTCTACTTAAAATATTTGTGCTTTTTCTTTTCTTGTTTGATTAGTTAAACTAATCATTACCTATTCTGTTGCTACTTGTTTTAACACGGGAGTCAAGAGGGCAAAAAAGCCTTTAAGACCAAAAGAATCAAGTTCTGGCACCAGAAATAGGTGTCCTGTGGCAGAAAGCTGGCTTAAGGCCAGGTGGAAAGCCACCTAACACCTCTATCTCCTCATCAGGTAGGGCCTGAAAGGATGCTTGGAAGAAAAATGTCACCATCACCACCACCTCCATTACCCTCACTTCCACAGCTTTTCACAGTGTTCAAAGCACAGTCACATGTACCTGTCTCATTTGGTCCTAATAAAAAGTAAGCATGTATAGCATTACCCCTGATAGGTGAACAACGGAAAAAGGCTTGATCAAAGGAAAACCACTCTCTGGGAGGAGTCAGGAGACTTGGCTCCATCTGGTCAGGTCTCTGCCCTCCAGGGCCTCACAGCCCACACCCCCAACATGAGGAGGTCAGATCAGCACATCATATGACAGAAGGTCTCTTCAGACTTCAAAACAACTGCAAAGTGCAGACGACTAGTGTGGGTAGCACCCTGAGCACATTGGTTGAATAAGTATAAAACCTGAAATCACTTTGACAGCGGGGGGACTATTTCTTTCACACAGGGCCTTACCATCCTTTGAATCAACATGCATTGTTTTGAGGAGAATGCCTAGTACAGAAGCAAGCCTGACTACAGACTCTGAGACAACAGCAAATGGTGACTGAGTCCACTTTTCCCCTACTTTTCCCCCTCAGGGAAATGTGCCTCAGAGCCCTACTCTCTGTCCAGTAATTCCACTTCTGGGAAGTATCCTGTGGTAACAGTCATGGGTGTGCTCAAAGATTAATTTACAATCACAAAACACTGGACACAAACTACAAGTCTACACTTAAGGGGCTGGTCAAGTAAATCATGGTGCATTCACAACCTGGGAACCTGGACAATCAGCAAGTCTTTGCTTCAGAGGACTATTTATTAAAATGGATGCAAGGTCAAGATACAGGAACAGGTGGGGAAAAAGACCGGAGATACAGATACCAAAATGTTAACAGCAATTATATCTGAGAGACTAGATTAAGGGTAATGTTTGTATCCTTCTTTGGGTTTTTACTATTCAAAAATGTGTATAAAAGGGCAAAATGAAACAAAAAAAAAATCAGTCCGACTTCTCTCCCTGGTTTCTTCAATGCCCCACCAACAATGAGGCAGAACTGGCCATGTGGACACACAGGCCCTGTGAAGGTGCCCTTGCCTTCCAGCCTGTCACAGGCTCCTCCCAGCCCACCTTCTGCATGAGTCAAATGTGCATAAGGGCTCTGCAGGAAGCACAGGGCTTTGAGGCTGGTGGGAAGCTGGGCTCTACTCCCCCATTTCCAGATTCTAGGGGTCGGATTGACCCAAGAGCCTGTGAAGACCCTGATTATGAAAGTGCTAACTGGTGAAAGGAGAGAGGAAGAACTCCCCAGATAAAGCCACAGAAAGCTCGGTGAGTGAATAAGTACCCGGTGTCCAGCTGTGCTATGCAGAGAGGTGTGATTCTTCTGCGACCATCTGCAGTCCGAGTCTCAACTTGTTTCTTCAAAAGATTCTGGCAAAATAGAGTGACATATATGAATGGAAAAGTTTCTGCCAAGCACCTCCACATATAAAAAAATAAGGCTTCTAAAGAAATGAATTCCAACTTCCTTTTCTATGGCCTTCTGGTCCAACTAAACTCAGCCACTGAGCAAGCATTTTTGTCAGGGTGAGCATTCAACTTCCTGCACGGTAAAGCAGCAATGACAGAAAGCTCCCAGTTGAACTGGCTTCAGTACCTTGCTCTCATCACCTGCACTGCAGGCCTGGCCAGGTTTCCTAGGCAGTGAGCATATGCCAGTCTGGCCACTCTCAACCAGCAGCCAGGGGGCTCAATGAGGGAACAAACAAATGAAACCTGTATCCGTGAGCCACTCTTGTCTCTAAGTTGTGATTTGCAAATCTTCTTTCATCAGAGTCATTTCTTCTACTGAAGGCTCATAAAACCAAAGGTTCCCAGGCACACATTGTGTCCAAATTACAGATTTGTTGCCCTGTATAGGTCCTGGAGATCATTTAAGTTCCCCAGGTGATCCTGACGTTTCCTGCTCTGTTCCTGCCCCATCTCCACCCCCTCCCCCAGTGAGACATGGGCTTCCAGAGGAAGAAGGGGGAACCCATTGATATATCCTAAGGACAGAACCTGACACCCACTGTTCTCAGTATCTAAAATTTCCTAGAAAGGCTAGAAGTGAGGTTTGGAAGCTCCTATAAGAAATGATATCCTCTACAGAGGTCTTTGATAAAGTGCCTTAGGCCCCATTACTACCTCATGCAGCTGATGGCAATGGGGCCAAGTGGCCCCAAACTGGCTTATCCCTGGGTCCTGTTCTAGGCACAGCATACACCTGCTTACCGAATTGTGTCTGTGCTATGTTCAGACCGCTTGTTCCCCCTGCTCTGTCCCTGGGTGTGTACCCATGTCCTCAGGGCTATGGGGACGAGCCCTCACCTTCCTAATGTCTTCTAGACTCTCCCCATTGACAACGCCAGCAACTGAGGTAGCTGAACTTGTCTCTCTGGCCGAGGCACTCTTGTGGTCCAGCTGCTGTTGTTGCTGCCTGCGCTGGTATTTGAGCATCTCTGGGTTCTCGATGACAGCTGTGGAGAGCTGGGCCTCAGTCATGATGGCCAAGCTCTTGCCATAGGTAGACTGGTGAATGCGGCTCTAGGGGAAGCAGAGAGAAGTGCAACAGACCAGCTGTGAGCAGCAACGTGGTGGCTAGTGCCCACCAGTCGGTGAGTTGCGTGTTGACTCTCCTGGTTCTGAGAATGGAAAGGGTCTTGGGCAGTGGTCCCAGGTTCTTAAATCACCCCAAGTACCCCAAACACTTTTTGGGAATCAGACACTGAAGTTCAGAGCCTTCTCACACCATTCTTGTTTGCTGTCATCAGTTCCATGTGAATGGAAGTTACCATGGGGCTGCTAACAGTATCTAAGAGTAAGGGAATGTCTGGCATAGCAAACCTGGGGAAATCTTTCTCTGCCTCTCCTGTCCCCCAACATGTCCTGACCCTTCTGAGTAGGGTCCCTCCCTTCACCTTCCTAGGTCTCATTAATTCAATGCCACAACAAGCCGGACAGGACCCCATGTTGGCAGGGATAGCATCCCCAGCACATTAGAGTGACTGGTGTGATGAAGAGTAGACTCACAAGGAAGGCCTAATGACCAACACGGAGGCCAGCAGGACATATGCCTCACAGCAGAGGATGCTGGGCAGGGGGAGGTCATGCCTTGGGATTCGTTTCTGCAGGGCCTGGTGTGTTGTGTGTGGCTGGGAACTTCCCTCCTTTGCTACCTGTCCCTTCTGCCCTCAATCCCTCCCCTGGAATCTGGAGGAGAATTCAGAGTCTGGCAGATGTTTACCTGTGTGTCTCAAACATGGGGTCCCTGCCTGCCATTTGGGAAAAGGTAAGCTAGATGGCATTATTTTGTAGCCCTCCCCGCCACTGCCCTCCACCAGACTCTCCAATGGGGAGGAGAGTACATAGGGATCCCAGGTTACCTGATGACAGTGACAAGGCAGAAAGACCTGAAGCCACTGAGACACTCATCCCTTCATTGACAAGTGACTCTTGGGGTGCCAGGCCATTTTAGGTGCTGTCATCAAGGCAGACCCCTATGCCCAAGGGGTTTACTTCATAGCATGAAGTCCACACAGTAGCTTATGTGGGAGCCTCTACCAGTAATTTGCAGCTCGAAGGGGAGAGCTGCCCACCTGCTCTGGGCTTTCACAAGGCTCCTTTCAGACAAATGAATACAATCCACTGAGTGGTGGCAAAGGCCCATCTGTAGAAATGTCTGCCTTCTAAGTCTATGGTCCATAAAGCAGGGCCTTTCCTAAAGTCCTTGAAGAAGGGCACATGGGTCACCCTGTCCTGGGCAGAGAGCACAGAGGGGAGGAAGCCTATGGGCCTGGCCCATGGTTCTGTTCTCATAATTAAGGGTTGTGTATGGTCTTGGCGAAGCGTCACACTATTTTCTGAGGCTTAGTTACCTTGTTGATAAAATGAATGAGCCTTGCCTTGAAGGGTTTTATAGAATTCAAATGAAATAATACAAGCAAAATACATGGCCCAGAGTCTGGCGTGCAGCAAGTGCTAAGAAACCATCAATGTTACTGCTCTATGGCAACTATGTTTGTATGACACAATGGGGAAAGGGATGTGAACAGGAACCCTTAGGAGTCACTCTTGCTATCTCCCACATGTGAAAACATCCCAGTGTGTGGCTAATTATCACCTCAAGAACAGATGCCCAAAGTTGTTTTATTCTTAGTTCCAGAACTGATTTCTGACATGAATGAGAGCCTCATCTTTATTTAATCTATTTTGTAAAAAAAAAAAAAAAAAAAAAAAATTACCATCTGTACGAGACAAATACCCAAGAATACTTTAAGAAACAATGTGTCTGTGTATGTCCTAAGGAGAGGGTCCAATCGAAGGGGCTGTGGTGGCCATTTCTGTGGCCCAAGAGCAAGCGCAGCACTCAGGCTACCAGTTGGAGGTGTACTGTTCTCCTACCTTCTCCTCCTCGCTCAGGGGGTCTCCAAGCTCATCCTGGGAGAAATCTAGAAACGCCACAGAGCCATCCATGGAGCACACCAAGATGCCCAGCCCATTCAGAGTCCTGAAAAAGATGGCTATTAGCAGTCTGGGAGCAAGTCCCTATGGGGCTTAACCACACCTCCAAGGCTGGACCGGGAGGGTAGCATGCAGGGTTCTTCTCAGATGCCAGAAACCCCTTGTTCCCTTCTATGGCATTCCTTGGTAGGGTGGGGGCAGGGGAGACAATCACACTGCAGAAGGTTCTGGAGCCCTTTAGTTCTTTGCACATGTACAAAGTATCTCTCACCATGTATTCTGTAAGAATTTCACTTTTATTTATTTTGAAACCATGTTTTAAAAAAACATGAGGGAATATACATCTAAATGAGGTCATTGAGAAGCAACAAATGTGTCTTCATACTTATGCTAATCTGGTTCATGCAATGACAGAGTGAAGTAAAACCAGGATCACAGCACTTTTTCCCCAAATGTCAGTTTGCCTGAGGAACTATTTTCCAGGGGCAAATGCCAACAAAGCAGGAAGCACAGCAGCTGACACTCTCCCAATGTCAGGCCCAAGCTGCCCTTTCTTGAATCATTTGCTCTGGCTACCACACCTGGGGAGGGGGTGGCCCTGACTGCCTGACCCCAGTCACATCTGGAAGGCCTCATGTTCCTGTGTGTAGCTTCTCTTTTCCTAGCCTGTGCACTGTAATAAGAATCCATCTTACCAGGAAATATCCATGATGGATTTGTCGAATAGCTCATGGATGACAACCAAAGGCCGTTTCAGACACGTGAGCTGGAAGGAAAGAAGCAGCAAAGGTTAATGTAATGAACAAAAACTGTTTTTCGTGCACTCAGTTCTGTTAATACCAACAGTCCTAGAAGCTTGGTCTGAGTTTTTGTTGACATACAAGGCATATTCAACTCTATTCAAATAGCAACCAGCAAGATCCAAACCTGTGCAAACCAAAACCTGACATTTTAGTGTGGTCTCTGTCTGAAGGGCTCGCTGTAGTCTGGCTGGGGAGATGGCTTCATAAATGGACAATCTAGAAGGGAGAATGGGGTTCCAGAAAGGCCATGACCTGAGCAGAAGTTTACAAGCAAGGGATGGGATGCCAAGGCCTGGGCAGAAGATGAGGCAGCAAAAGTAGTGCCCAGGACAGGAAAACAGCCTCAGAGAAGCCAGCACATCTCCTCTTGGCCCAAGGAGTTCTGGTACATACGTATGCAAAGCTGGGTATAACTGGTTACATACATCCCACGGGCTCATTCTACAAAGTATGTGCAGATAGTTCAGAAACACCAAAAACAGTTTAAGTTGCCCTCAATCCAGATCTAAAGTTAACCACTATTAATACTTGGATGAGTTATTTTCTTTCGGTCTTTCTTGTGCAAATATTTTATTCTTTGGCACATGATAACTTTTTTATTTAATACATTATGTCATTAAACACCCTGTAAAAACCTGTCTTTGATGACTGCACAAGATTCACCACATGCACACTTATATCTAGTCACTCAAAGTTTGGGCTATGTGCTGTCTCCCTGTTCCCACAGCTCATATACTAGTGTCTGGCCACCCTGCTGACAAGGTCCTGGGGCCACAGTGAGGTGGGTGGGAGGGAACACCTTTTGCATGGCTCCCATCAAGTGCTGCTTCTATAGGGGAAGAGTTGCTGTGGCCACCCTAGTCCCGAGGAAAGGGAGTCTGAACTACTTGGAATCCACAAGAAGACTCTTGTCCTTACTCTAATTCCACTTCCAGAAAAAAATAGCACTGTCTCTCCTCCCAAAAATGTGCCTACAGACCACTCAGAAATCTGGAACCTTTCTGAACATCTGACCTCAGCATTCTAAGAAAATGAATATATGATCAGTGATGTTTTGGGTAAAGCACCACAAATGAAACTCCAGGCCAGAAGGAGCCCAGGAAGAACACACCTGGAACTACCTATGGTAGGGTTCAGGTTCTGAAATGTCACATGAATACGGGCCTAAAAAAAAAAAAAATCAGTGTACACACAGCAATCAATTTCTCTGTGACAAAGAACTGTAATAAATGCTGCCAGAGGATAACCTTCAAGTCTACAACTATAAGTCCACTCTGCTTACAGGGAACTTGTAATTAGTTAGCAATAAACTAATGCCAAATTAGCTAAATGCTAATGCTAAATGCGACAACACACATGAATCTCAACAATATTATGCTAAGTGAAAGCAATGCAGGACATAAAAAGTAAACACTGCACAACTCATCAATGTGACAGACATTGTTGGAGTGGCTGCCTTGGCCAAGGGGTGTTGGGAAGTAGGTTCTTGACTGGGCAGGGATGAGGGGTTCTGGGGTGGTGGTTACACTGGTGTAAACATGTATGACAATGCATTGACCTGTATACTTCAGGTGAATACATTTGCTATAGGTTATATAAGGACACAAAGTTTTTCTAAAAGGAAGCAAACATAGCATGCCAACTGAAGGTATTCCCTGAATCTGGACATAAGAGTTGCTCTGACTGGGGCTCAGGGTGGCCTCTCCTAGCTCGCCCCAAGCCTAGTCTTCAGCACTTCCTTCCTCCTGGGGTAATGAGAGGGCCTGACCCCAGATCCGGGGCAGAAACACACACTAAGCACCACTGAAAGTGGAGGGTAGGGGAGTCACTCCAAGCCTCTGGGCTCTGCCTCCTGCACCAGTTCCTTCTCCTTTGCCCTGCAGGAGCCACAAAAGGTCTTGGTGGGGGAGGTGGGGAGGGAAGGAGTGGGGGCTCACCCAGACAGAGAGAGAACGGTCCTTGCTGCCAACAGCACAGCAGCAATATGGGCAGCTGGGCTTTGCAGAACTCCCATTCTTCTGCTTCTTTTTGAAGATTTTTGGGTTGAATTTCTAAACCAAATAACAAATGTTAAAATAATTAATCAAGCATCAAGCACAAACCCTATGCCCAGTATCAGAAATATAGCACAATACCAGTCTGTTGGTGGGAAATCCACACTGGCATTCTCCCAGCCCCAGGCACTCAGCATACTTGATTTCATCTTCATAACTAACCAGGAGGCATTTTGCTGAGGATGAAATGGAGTCTCAGAGAGGCCAGGAAACATGGGCCAAGTCACCCAATGAGTAAGTGGTGAGACAAGGATTTGAGGCTGGCTCTACCAACTCTACATTTCTGGGCTTGCAGCCAGGTTGATGGCATGGGAGCTACTGAAGCTTGCTCTCTGAATTCCTCCTGGCCTGGGCAAGGCCAGTTCCAGGATGTGGCTTTAGGGATAAGGTCCTGACAGAGGTCAATGGGACTGTCAGATATCTACTCCATTAATCCCTTCCCCTTCACTGTAGTTGTTGCTTGGAGTCAAAACTAGCAGATGCTGATCAGCCCCGCATGATCTCACTTGGCCAGGACAATGGCTAAGTCACGCTAAAGTGCACTCTGGGGTTTATCCTCAGTGTAACCTGGGTGCTGCTTTTGGCAAGGCTGGAAGCACACAGAGAGCTCCCTGCCACATTCCTGAATTGAAAGGGGTGGGAACTCTAGAGTCAGAGCTGGAATCCCCACACCAGGACAACTGAGGAGGAAAGGTGGCTCCGGGGAGCCTGATGTCAGCTGGCCTGGCCCAGAGGGGTTCTAATCCCAGAGGCTAGGAAAGAATAGCCAGGTGCACACAGACCAGAAACATAGAACCTGGAGGTGTGCATCCTGGGCTTGAGTCTTGGCTACCCTGGGTTGGCTGAGAGGCCTCAGTACCATGATCTCACAAAACTACTCTTTTTTTTTTTCAACGTTTATTTATTTTTGGGACAGAGAGAGACAGAGCATGAACGGGGGAGGGGCAGAGAGAGAGGGAGGCACAGAATCGGAAACAGGCTCCAGGCTCTGAGCCATCAGCCCAGAGCCTGATGTGGGGCTCGAACTCATGGACCGCGAGATCGTGACCTGGCTGAAGTCGGACGCTTAACCGACTGTGCCACCCAGGCGCCCCACAAAACTACTCTTAAACAGTGCCTGTGAGGACCACTTGACAGAGTCATGTGGAAGCACTGTGCTAACCCGAAGCAGTGATTTTTCAAATATTTTAGTAACAAGGGCCTGTCTTTGAACAAAGTCCTACATGGGCTCTAATACAAAAAAAAAAAATTAAGGAAGTAATATTTTATTTGTATAAAAGTTATAAATATTTTAAACTACAATATACAATATTTATCATGAATTTAAACAATGGTAAGGATGAGCCCATTTTAAGGAATACAAAAAAACTGAGATCAGAGTCCTGGATGATCCTTCACTTTTACCAACCTTTAGCCCACCAACTTATTTTCTTCGTTTTGGTTGCCCAGTGCTGAGAAAATCCTCGTTAATAGTAGCCCGCATCTGCTGGCTCCCATGTCGACTGGGCGGGGCAACTCCAGACTCAGGTGATCCACAGCACGGCCTCATAGCTATGACTGTCCAGTGCTGGGGTGCAGGAACATGTGCTCAACAGGCACATGGACTGCACCTGTGCTCCCGAGTCTGGCTCGTGGGGCACTTGTCAGGACCAGCATGCTTGAGCACCGTGACCTGACCCAAATGTGTAAAAAGGCTAGTGTGGAGCTACAGTGTTCCCAATCACAGATTGATTTTGGTGATACTCATTAAAACATGTGAATATATATTGTTTTGTAAAATCACTTCAAAAACTGTGAAACGTAAGTATTTAAAATGAAACAAGGATGTGGCATGTGCTGACTCTCAGAGCCCACCACCACAGTCCCACATTTGACCCAGCCTTGAGGCAAGGCACCTCCCAGGCTGAGGCTAAGCACACTCACAACAACAGTCACAGCTTTCCGGTGCCCGACAAAGTCCATGTTGGTCTTCCAGCCCTCCCGTTCAATGATCTGGGCAGTGGGGCCAGAGTTGTTCATGGCGTGGGCAGACACCAGGTAGTGCCCGTCAGGTGACCAGCTGAGCCGCAACACATGGGTTGTCCCTCCACACTGAAAGAAACATCTGCAATTGGAAGGAGCTCAAAGCCAATTGTGTGACCAACACTGTGGCCTCAAGAATAGAGGTGAATTCTGATTTATAAATGTATGATAGCGGAGCATGTACCCAAGCTTCTGGCTACATGAATAGCTGTAACTCCAGTCTCTCCAGATGATGTAACAAAAAAGGTGCTGTTAGATGAGACTGGGAGCTGCAGCATCCTACACTCCCCTACCGGAGCTGAACACCACACAGTGGCATAGGCCTCAGGGGATCTGCAGGACAGCCACCTCTTTTAACTCTCAATTCTGCATGGGTCAAATCTATCTGGTCACCGATCTCTTTCTTCTGCCCAGCATGTTAACCCTACCACATGAGGTCTGCAGAACATTCACTTCCGTGGAAGAAGAGTCCTATGGACCCTCAGGAGCCAGTCTCTGTGAGGCAGCCAGTAACCATGAGCCACTATGTGCTCTCTCGAGCCTGCCTCCTCAACTGAAGCCTGGTGGTGTTACTAGCAAAGGAGAAGAGCTTCATAAAGTCCATATCAACTATAAAACACATAGCAGAAAGGCACTGTTTACCTGACCTGGTCTAGGGCTGAAACAAGACATCTTTCCACATTATTATTACTGCAAAGTAAGATGATATGGGCCATAAAACCAGCCCCCTAAAGCTCAAGGTTGGCTTAGGGCGGTTTTAAAGACTTAAGAGTCAAGATCTTGGCCTCATAGCCCCAGAAGAGGGCAGGACAAGGTGGGGCCTGAACGCAGTGACACATCTGCCTCAACTTCCAGCTGGGTCACAGACCCAGGCAGGACAGGCTGACCCCAGAGGCTGAGGAGTCCTGTCTGCTCCCACTGGGACTCCAAACACCCCTGCCCATCTTCCATAACTGCCCACAGGAGCCTCGCTAGTGGGACCCCACTGACTAGTCACTGGAACCTTGAGGAGGAGCCCCAAAAGGCATGAAGGCCCATGTCCCCTGTTCCAGACTATAGCCAAGAAGGGCAAGATTAAGTAGGGTGAATAACAGTGCTAATGTGGTGCTGTTGGTTTGGGGAAAACAGAATACATGATTTCCACCTTCCTTCTACAGCCAGCCCTGAACCGTGGGGGAACGTCTATTCCTCCTGCAAAACTTTGCTCACAGCCCTTCCTCTGAGAAGCCTTCCCTGATGCGATCACTGCTCCTGGGCTATTTCTGCACATTCTGAACAACTCCACCACCATGCTCACAACTGATGTGAAAGTCTATCTTTCCCACCAGGCTCTAAGCTTCAAGGGAGAGACTCCATCTTAGTCCACTTTCATTTCATTTACCTAATACTGCCCTTCTCACAGTAGGCACTTAAGATCTGATTCCATATGAAATGAGAACCCAAATAAAGGAAGAGACAGTAAAATACTTTACAAGTCACTGCAGTTCAACCTCTAGACATTGTGCACACTGTACTCATAACGCTAGCCTAGAAAGATGTTGGATGGCCTGCAGAGTGCAAGTCAGTGAGCAAAGCCACAGCACAGTTAGGAAAAATAAAAGAGAGGGTCTCCTCCACCTGTGTGGCACAATGGTGAGGGAGCATTGCTAAGGGGTTTTCTTCAGCTTTTTCTCACTTCAAAGTTGGACATTTAATACCATCTGAGAAATGAAAGATTTTCATCATCTGACTCTTTGGGGCAGAGGGCCTGCCCCAGAGAACCCTGACCAGTCTGCTCAGGCCCTGGAACTCCGCATTCACCCATGAGGTCTGGACCCCAGCCAGTTCCTCCTCTGTGCACTGAGGCCAGTGGGCTGATGGACCAAGCTCCCTGGGCTGGATCCTTACCTCATCAAAAGGCTTGGTGATGCTGGTCTCCAACTGCCAGTCCAGCGTTCTCCACACCTTCAGGCTGCGGTCGTCAGCTTGAGAGGCAATGTATTTACCAACAGGGTCCCAGGTCAACCCCTTTACCAACCCAGAATGGCCTCTCAGAGTAGCGAGAATTTCTGTGGAGAAAAAGAAGAGATTGGAAAGGTATTAGCTAAGGGAAAATGATGAGTCTGTCTAAACATGAGCTGCAATCCATGGGCTATGGAATGGTTAGCCAAGAGAAGGGACCTCAGGAGTCTACCTTCGTCAGCTCCCACCCCTGGGCACAAGCACAAGAGCCCCCTAATCTGATCTCTATCAAGGCAAAGCAACTTGAAGGAAGGACTGCACCCAGGAGGCAGGCACGATGCATGAGCCCCCTAAAGGGCAGGCAAGCAGGGACACAGGCTTGGGCCAGAGGCAAATTCTGCCTCTTGGACTTGTCTGTAGTTGGTAGCTCTGCCAGTGGTTTCCCTTTCTGAACAGAAGGTCATGCCCACCTGGGCTCTGACATCAGCATTTCTGATGTGAACCTCCCTGGCAGCTCCCCCATAAGGAGCTGGCCTGACAGCTCAGGGGAAAGGGCACCGTGCTAAAAGTCCTTTGTAAGTCATCACTGAGACAAAGGTGTGTGGGACGGCACATCCTTGGGATCTATAATCTAAATACTACTCCAGCACTCCATGACCAGGATGCAAATGGACCTACACATCTTGGTGGCTTATAAAGAAAGAGAGAAAATGACTTGGATCAAGGTCACGGGGGATGCTTCTTAGCCCATGAAGAAAACATATTCCAGATACTAGCAGAAAGAGGATATGTATCTTACCAGTTATAATCTGCAGTGGTATGCCAGGTTATGCCATCTGTTGTGACTTTAAACACATTAATAAGAAAAACAATCTTTTGCAAAACTGGATTTGTTAGCCTGTATGTGCTCAAAGGCTTCAGAGAGTAGATGGCAACTGAGCGAAGGCTGGACCCCAGTGGCGGGAAGCCATACCCTCAAGGGCATATGTGTATGTGCGGGTGCCAGGTGCCCAAGTACATGCGATGCCATCCTATCAGCCTCATGATCTGCAGCACATCCATGCTAACACTCATTTATAATTTTCTTTAACATAAACCTCTTTTAAAACCTTAAACAAATGTCAATGATGCAGAACAAAAGAATGGAGTCTCTGACAAGACAATGTGAATCCTCGTCCTCTATGAGACACTTGTTGCCACCAGCCTAAGGAGACCAAGAGCCCACGCTGCTCCAGATGAGCGGCCCATTTCTGCCACCACCCAGTCAGAGGCCCAGACCTGGGAACTTCACAGCGTTCCAGATGACGACAGTGTTATCCACGCTGCACGAGGCCAGCCAGGCATCATGGGGAGACCATGCTACATCCATTACATCTGGAAGACAGAGGGCTGGTAGTGAGTCTCTTACCTGGTGCACAGACTTGGCTAGGGGGGTACTCAGCAACGCCTGTCTGCCAAGTGGGCCAGTACCCCTAGCATTCCATGTCTGAGGAAACTTGAGATCATAACTAGACTATTTCTTAAAAACCAATCTGCAAAACTTCCCCACTAATGTTTTTGAATTGGTCATGACATTTGAAGCATCCACGTGACCTCAATCACCCCTTTGACAGATGAGGCAACTGAGGATCATAGCTGAGAGGTTGGGGCTATGTAGAACCCTGGCTCTGACACCTGCTGGGTCTGTGGCCTCAGGCTCACTAAGCTTGCTTCTCTGATCCCAATTGGGCCTGAGAGCCCTTTGAGCACTACAGGTACAGCACCTGGCAGAATGTCTGGCACACAGCGCTCAATAGGTACCAAATGAGTGGGACCATCTTCAGGCCCTTCGCACGAACCAGACCTCATCTCCAAGATCCTGCCAGAGCATCCCTCCCCTACAGAGCCCCCAAACACAATTATTCATATTCACTTCTTTTGTGACTCAGTTTTCTCATGTGTAAAATGCAGATTAAAAAAAAAAAAACAAAAAACTAAGCTCAGAGGGTTATTACAGGGATTAAATGTGAAAAAGTGCTGTAGCACGGTGCCAGGCACACACCAAGGCATTGATATAGATCAGCTGTGACAGTGACAATGACCAGGCCCATCTCGCCATCCAGGTGTGACTTTTTTCTAACCTCTGTGCCTGGTGCAGTGCTAGGTATGAGAATGGCTGATGAGAGATGAAGAAACAGAAACACGGCGTCAAGTTAACAGCTTTCTAGTCCTCTCCTCACAGGACTTTTTAAAATGTGTAAGCAAAATATTCAAAAGTTCTATTTTGTTTTTTTCTATTTTTAAAAAAAATCTTCAGGGACAGCTTAATTCATTTTTCCCACATGGTATTGTACTTGGTATTTCACACAGCATACACACTAGTGTGCTGCACTTAGTATTCTTTTTAATTAAAAAAATGTTTATTTTGAGAGATGAAGAGAGTGTGCATGAGAGGGGGGAGGGGGGGAGGGAGGGAGAAGGAATCCCAACCAAGCTCCACGCTGTCACAGCAGAGCCCGATGAGGGGTTCAGTCTCCTGAACTGTGAGATCATGACCTGAGCTGAAATCAAGAGTCAGATGTTTAACTGACTGAGCCACCCAGCCACCCCATGCATTTAGTATTCTAATAGCCTATGTGATCCTGAGGGCTTCTCCTGTTTTGCTCTGCATCCTTTGTCTTTTTTTTATTTATTTAAAAAAAAATTTTTTTTTTAACATTTATTTTTGAGACAGAGAGAGACAGAGCATGAACAGGGGAGGGTCAGAGAGAGAGAGGGAGACACAGAATCTGAAACAGGCTCCAGGCTCTGAGCTGTCAGCACAGAGCCCGACGTGGGGCTTGAACTCACAGACTGTGAGATCATGACCTGAGCCGAAGTCAGACGCTTAACTGACTGAGCCACCCGGGCGCCCCTGCATCCTTTGTCTTTGAGAGCATTCACTACCATAAATAGACCTAATTTAACAATGAACTATAACTGGCTTCCATGTTTTCATGCTAATGAACACACAGCCATATGCCACTCTCTACACTCTGGTTTATTTCTTGTGACTGATGTGGCAAAGTGGGACTCTGGGTAGAAGGCCTAAACGTTTTCCTAAGTCTAGACTCTCTTAACCCTGTAGACTGCATTCCAGAGACCTCTAGAACTTTACACTTTTATAAGCTGAATGTCCATTTCAAATTCTCTTATTAGCTTGAGGGTTATGATTTTTCCCTTCTAACTTATGAAGTACATTTTTATATTTTAACTTCACTTTGATTAGTAATGAAAGTGAAGATTTTTCACATGTTTGTCTAACAAAGTTGTCTTCTTAGACTATTTTCTTCCTTTCTCGTCTGTTGGGAGGTTTTTTGTGCAGCAGGTCTGACAAACACAAATGTAGTGCCTATAAAAATGAGGAATAGGAACCTCCTCTAGGAGCTTCCAGGCCAGGAGGGGCAAATGTGTAAACATCAGAATTTCACTGCAGTACCTAAGTCTTAGAGCAGAGAAGTAGTCAGCTGAGAATTCCAGAAAGGAGATTTCATTTTCTTAGCAATTTTCATAGACTATTAATAATACAGGCATTAGCTGCAAATTCTATCAGTTTTAACTTCCTAACACCGCAGGCGATTTATGACGTAAAGTCTGTTATTCTCCTTAGTGATGTCTTTTATTGCCTGTTAACCTTCAAAAATACTCTCTCTGCTAGAGGTTTGATAAATATTCAATTCTTCTGCAATAATCCAATTGTTTTCTTCTGCTTTAATTATTTAGAATGTTTCTCTCTTTAATATCTGGAATTTATTTTAGTGCATGCTGTACTTAGTGAAGCTCTATATTACTCTCCCCTCATCCACAAACTGTATAATGGTTATTCTATCACTTGTGATAGAATCTCCATAATTGATAACTGATGCCTCCTTCACAATACATCAAATTGTCAGGTACATGTACCTGACTTCCATGTTGGTTAAGTTTTGGTCCCAAACCCATGACATTTTAAATCACTGAAGCTTTGAATGTTTTCTTCCACAACCTTCCTTATAATTCCGAATGCCCTTCAGAGTCACTGCTAAGCTATGCTGTAAATCCACATAAGTGACATAATTTTCTCCCTAAACCCCTGTTTTGGTTTCAGTCTTCAGACTATACCACTCCCTCTCCTTCCCATTGCACATCTACATATATCTGACACCCTCCTGCACTTAAAGAGTTATATTTCTGGTCACATGTCATTCCAGAAACTCTCATCATCATCCTTGCTGATTCTAGGAGGATAATCTTTTGTTCTGTTTTGACACAAGGCTCTTGGATCCTTAAACTTCACAGCCTCCTCCAGTGACCTTGGCTTCTACTACCTCAGGCACTCATTCCCAGTCATGCCCAGAGACCCTCCCTGACAGATCACTGCAACTCTTCCCTGGTCTCATTCCAACCCTCCCACACTCCTACCATCAACCCAGTGCTTCCAGCTCCCTCCCTCTCAACTCCAACAGGGCTTGCAGGTGCTATGGGCCTTCTGCTGTCTCCCTATTCGGATTAGAGTCCACCATAACCCTCTGCTCTTCTCCTGTGTTTTCACATGTGCCTGACAAAACCGAGCCTGGTTCAATCTAGCTATTTCCTCCCCTCCCCATCCCAGTCTTTCTTGAGCATCCTCCAATGAGTCTTCCACCCAACAACACCAAAACGAACAGCAGTAGCCAAGGCCATGGGCAGCCTCCATGCCATCAAGTCCAATGGTCAATATCCTCATCCTTACCTGACCCCCAGGCAACATGTGATGCACTGCTTAATCACTTTTCCTTCAAATGCTCTCTCCACTGTCTTAAACTGGCCTCCTCTCCGACTCAGCCTGTTTCACTTGTTCCTCATCACCCCAAAGCCCAACCTCTACCCTTGGCCTCCAGTCCCACCTACGCTTCTCCCCTGTACTCAACTTTCACATATCAAAATGCCTATGCAGCAGGACACTTAAAACACCCCTGCTAGACAATGTATACCAAACATGCCCCAAAGCATTTCTAAACATTTCCCCCAGCAAACATTTCTGTCCCACCTACACACTTTCCATCAGGTGATGACATATGCATCCTTACCACCCTCCAGGCCACAGTCAAGGAAGCCGTCCTGATTCCTTTGCTTATCTCACATACCCTACATCCCATCCACCAGGAACTCTGCCTCTGACTACTGCTCCTTGTGACTTCCACTGCCACAACCCAGGTCCACCGTCTCTCACCAAGATTATGTGAGCAGCCTCATCAGTGGTCTCTCTAGTGCCGTCCATAGTCCATGCAGCTGCCACAGGCCTTGCTTCTCTGCTCAAAGCCCTACTGAGCCTTCCCATCTCACTCAAAAAGCCCCTCCTAGAGGCCTAGAAGGCCTGTCCCTGCTTCCCTCCCCTGTTCACTCCTTGTGTCCTAGTTCTCTGAATACACCAAGCACACATCCACACTCCAAGGCTGTTGCCCTGGCTATTCCTTTAGCTTAGTAAGTTCTTTGCATGTGCACACAGTTGTCCCTTAACCTCTACCTGGTCTCCCCTTGCATGTCACCTTCTCAGTGAGGCCTCCTCGAGAACTTCGTCTTATTTTCTTCCCCAGCACTTAACTTCTAGTTTCTGACATGACTGGTTTATTGTCTGTCTCTTCTAAAAGAATGTAAACTCTCTGAGGGTTGAACAGTACTCAGAACATACTGGGTGCTCGATAAATATTTGTTAAAAGAATTTAGGAAAAAATTGCATCTTTATTTTATTCAGTTTTTCCATTTATCAAGTGGTCATTTTATCTCTCTCAAAAAAGGTTTGTAGTTTAAGTCTTACAGACCTCATATATTTCTTGGTAAGATTATTTCTGGGTATTTACAACTTTTGTTCCTGCTGTATAAGAGTTCTCTTTTTATGATTAGATATTCTAATTTGCTATTACTAATGAAAGATGAATAATTAACAATTTTCTTGGGGAGCCTGGATGGCTCAGTTGGTTAAGTGTCTGACTTCGGCTCAGGTCATGATCTCAGGGTTCGTGAGTTCGAGTCCCGTGTCGGGCTCTGTGCTGACAGCTCAGAGCCTGGAGCCTGCTTCGGATTCTGTGTCTCCCTCTTTCTCTGCCCCTCCCCTGCTCGTGCTCTGTCTCTCAAAAATAAATAAGCGTTAAAAAAAATTTTAAAAAAAGTTTTTTCTTATAGAAGACCAATCCAATGACTTGTTTTTATTAGTCCTAAGTACTTTTCAATGTTTTTTAAGTTCTAACAACTGTGAGTTATAATATTTGCCATTGGTTTGAAAAAGACATAGGACATTTCAGGTTAAAGAAATAACTTCCTATGGCCATTTTAAAAATATTTTTTAGAAACTGATGCTGAATTATCTGATATTCCTTTCAGAATACCTCCTAAGAAGACTGTCTTTTTAAAAGTAGGCTCCATGTTCAATGTGAGGCTTGAACTCATAACCTTGAGATTAAGAGTCGCATGCTCTACTGACTGAGCCAGCCAGGTTCCCCAACTATCTTTTCTTATTTAACCTCCTAGTATGTTGTTAAGAGTAATAGATTACTTTTACACAAAATTCTTCCAAAGTTACCAAATTCACCTGCATTATGTTTCTTATTTTTCTATCTTTTTTCATATTCATCTATGCTTTGTGTGTGTGTTTGTGTGTGTGTGTGTGTGTGTGTGTGTGTGTGTGTGTGTGTTCTTTTAAGTTTTAGAAACCCAGAGTTATATAGCTTCCTTTGAAGAATAAATATTTCTACATTTTGGAATAATTTTTCTTAAAAGCTTGAAACAATGCATCAACAAGTCAACAAATAATTTAGTATTAGGAGTCATTTCTGATGACTCCAACTTCTTCATTGATTAACTACTTTAAGAAGTTTCCCTTAACCTTATGGTATCAATTCTGAAAACTTGCATTTTCTAGATTATATATTTTTTTGGAATTTTATTTTATTTTTTTAGTTTAAAAAACATTATGCTGTACTCTGATGATTTTTTTCCCTCTAGGTTAAATGTTTTTCTAGACCCTTTACTTCTAATTTCATCTAGGTCTTTTCTTCCTATCCCCCTATTAAGTATGCCAAGTGTATGTTTTTCACGCTTTGCTTTTAAAACCCAGTGTTTTCTATTTATTTCTGCTTTCCCACTGATTTTTCTTCTTCCAACAGTTCTGCCCACCGCTGCTATCAGGACCACTGAATAAGCAGTGGGTAACCCTGCTGAAACTGGGCAACCCTACTTGCCTGGTAAAGGAGAGCCCTGGAGAGAAGTCGAGGTTATGGCTCAGCCCAAGTCTCAGGTTAGGAAACCCATCAAAGGTCTCATTGAGGCCTTACCCCACACTTGAACACCTGCATGGACACTTTCTCCAAGTTCCAGAGGAGCCCAACTAGATAGACCTTGCTGTGAGCAACTGTGAATAAGTGAGGTTAAGTTACACGTTTTTATGGCTATCAACAATTACACAATGCTACTCTGTCAGTTTTCAAAAATGTAGAATTAATCTATGGTCACCTAGAGGTAAGTCTGTTCACCTTTAACATGTCTGTAGAGTATTTGCAGAGCATATCCTGTCAGCAGATTATAGCTGATGCCTTCCAAACCTCTCACTCTTGTCCCATCTTCTCCCAGGGCTCCAGGCTCAAATCCAATGGGTCTTGTGACATTCTTCCCCATCCCCGCTCCCCAAACTCAGCATATACCACACTGAACTGGTGTCCATCCCTGTAAGCCCACTATCATTGTGGCCTGAGAGAGGACACCACTGGCAATGTAGGCACCAGCTAGGAATCTCCTTCGTCCCTCACTTGCTTTGTTTTAAGAATTTCCCAAGTCATTCTCCCTCTCTATCCCAATTATCCCAGGCCTGGTTCAGGCCCTTGCAGTTTTCATCTGAACCACTAAAACAGGCTCTTCTCTATACCTGTCAGAATGATCCCCCTCTTATACCTCAAAGCTTTTAATGGCTCCTGTCTCTTCCACGATAAAGGCCACCTTCATTAACAGGGAGCAAGAACCATCTGTGTCCTGGTCCCTGATACTCAGCCAGCCCCACTCTGTGCTGCTCCCTTGCCTTGTATGTAAAGATCTAGCAGTGGTGAAATGCTGCCAACCCACCATGCACGTCAGGCCTTTCTGGCTTCTGCTGTCACCCTGACTAGGAAAACACTTCAGGCCATTCTTGGGCAAGACCACAGGCTTCTATTCTGAGGTATAGTCCCTCTAGTATCCCTGGCATCTGAGTGTACAGCACATGGCTTATGACAGCTATTGACCGCCCTTCTTCCTCTTCAGTCCAAATCTGTCCCTTTCCATTCCAAATCTATTAAACATTTTGCGAAATTACTCAAGGTCAAGTGAAAAACTTTTCCTTGAGGCCCTTTTTATGTGTGCTTGTTTCTGTGGAATAAATAAAGTGTGCTTACAGACTTAGTGATCCACTGATGAAGGTAGTGATTCAGTTCACCAGGAAAAACAGCAGAACGTGGGGATTCTACATTGAAGATATAAACATATACCCCATGAGGGCAGGAGTGGGGGCACTGAATGCAGCTGGAGGCAGGCAGTGGGGATGGTAGCTGCACAGACCTTGAGGGACAGGCTGGGTGTGACCGATGGTGATGGGGAGGGACGGCCCAGACGCAAGGCTGCTTTAAGGACCAAAACAGTCCACGGGGGCCGTGGAGGTGCTGCTGCTGATTTCAGACAGCTGCCAGGGCCGCCCACCCCAACAGGCAGCCCCACTCACCGCCTGAGTGACTCCGGAGGATAGAGACACATCGCCACTGCTCCACGTTGGCAAGCTTACCACTGGAGCCGAACACAGTGCTGGGGCCGATGTACCTGTGTGAAAGAGGAGTCAGAAAGGCACTCCAGGCATGCTCTAGGCACTGCACAGAGATGCTCACTGCAGCACAGCTTATCATGGCAGACAGAACAAAGCAAAACCAGACAATGGCTGGAAAGCATTGAATTGGTGAACAACAGAGGCTGATTAGGTAAGTTATGTTCCATGCACTTTATGAAATACCAAATAGCCATCACAAATCTTGAGGTAAAAGACTATCCACTGCATGGTGAAATGTTCACCATATATAATTAAGTGAAAGAAGCAGGCCACAGGACATCTTATACAATATGCTAGATATCAGTATGTAAAGAAAAAGAATACATGTAACATGGGTATCATCTATGCGTGGAAAACGGTTAAGACACACAAAAAATACCAAAATATTAACTTTGGCTTTCTTCAGGTGGTGGGATGGTGATTTTCTTTTATATATTTTTTTCAGATTTCCAAATTATATACTAAATATGTTATTTATGTTGACTAAAGCCGCAAAACCAACAGCCTTTTTAAAGCCCTCTTGGAAAGCACTCATAGCTCCTGCCATGTGAGCAGTTGGGTGGGTCCCCATGAAGGTGGTGTTAACACCATTGATGCACAGAGCCTCTGTTAACATCCTTTGCTCCCATAGAACTCTTACAGACCCACAGAAACAGTTCATCAAGTGGACCAAAGGAGACAGCATGCCTTTGCTCCCATGGCCATGTCCATGGGGCCACTTTGGCTACGCAGTGGGCTAGGGTCTGGTTCCCTAGTCTGACTAGCCCCCAGAGTTACCTGGGGAGCTGGTTATGAAACAGAGTCCCAGGACCCACCCTGAGAGACTCAGTCTAGGTTTAAAGAAAATGTTTTCTAGGTGATGGTTAGTTCATTGTGGGTACAGAGCAGGACTTTGAAGGGGTACTCCTTACTATCCCAGGGTGAGGCTGACAGAGAATGAGGTGAATGGCAAAGAGGGTGGGCTCTGGGTCCCCTCCCCCAAATTCCATCAGAGCACCTTGATGTTTACCTATGTTGTATGTTGGAAAATTTCATTTGGAAAACAAAACAAACAAAACCACCAACATCAGCAATGGACAGGATGAGCTTTTCAGGTAGAAACTCTGCAGCCCTGTAAGGGGGTGACTGAGCAGGTCTCCAGGCAGGTAGGTGGCCTCCTGACACCCTGGTCAGGTCCCAGCTACTCCTGGCCTACGTGTCTTCCTGCTACTCAGGAAGTTGGAGCTCTATGGACTTCAGTGCCAGAGTGGGAAAAGGTGACTGTGATTAAGACCAGCCAAGAAGCTTCTAAAAATAAAATGTGAAGAAAGGAAAATGATGCTTACGTAGCCCGTTTCCACACCATAATCAGTTTGTCATCTCCCCCAGAAGCTAAATACATCCCACTGTTTGACCACCGCACACAGTTCACACATGCTGGGAAGAAAAAAAAATAGGGTGATGAAAATCCAATAGTCACGCCCATTTGCTTTATGCAGAGTCTGGCAAGATGCAAAGGGTTTATAAAACCTACTCTGTCTCAACTATTCAAGGCATCCACTGTGAGTAAGCCCCAGAAGAACAATCCAGTTCAAATACTATTCTACTTGTGTTGTAATAACAAATGACCAGGACAGAGTTTGGAGGGCGACACTCTGCACAACCTGAAAAGTGTTAGTGCTGGATCAAACAGTCAATAGGAGAAGGTAAGTTTCCATGAAAATTGATAACTAAATCTCATTATTTCAAAAGGGCTGTCTCATGATGAGATATGTTTCTTAGCAGGGAGAATTCTTAAAATGAGGGCAAGTACTAAAAAGGCTGAGATGCCCTTCCCAAAACTTTCAGGGGAGCAGCCTGTTAGAGCATAAATCTCTGACTTCATCCCATCTGTAGCCCTTTTAAATTTGGATTTTCCAAACTTGTTAGCACTGCAGGTTGACTGGTTCTGCACTTATAAATTAAGACCAGCAGAAATGCCTCCTTGGCCCCTAATGGGTTAGAGCAACTCACAGCTGGGCCTTTGGGAGCCCTGCAATACAAGGGACACTATCCAAGTTGTAGCCCACAAACGGCTTGCCTGTGACTTGTACTCCACGTCGGAGGGCACTGAGAGACAGATGGGAGAGCAAGAACACACAGAGTCAAGGAAGGGAGGACATAACTGTCAACGGAGCATCTCTGGGGAGGCAACTGGGTTGGAAACCAGAGCCAGATACAGTCACCCTGTTGCTCAGAGGCAGGAAACTAAGGTGCTAAATGTAGGAAAGGAAACCACAACACTGTCTGACCAACAAAAGGGTCCTGGTAGAGGGCCTCAGAGTGACACAATGGCAATCTTGAGACATTTTGGTGAGTTGTCTTTAATACACCCTTCCCCAGAACCCTACTGCTTCCAGGTCGCTGGCCCCAAAGCCCCATGGTATCAGGCAGTAACGACTCATGAGCAGGAAATCACCAGAGGTACCTGCAGACTGTCCAAAGATGGTTCTGTGGGCGGGCCGAGTCTTCTGCCGAATAACTCACCCAGGTGTGCAGCCAACATCTGTGCCTTCAGACAGCAGGCCGAGGGGAGTTACCGCCGCACGGGGCCTTATCTTTCTAATTACAAACACATGTGCTAACCTTGGGCACTCTGCCAACACGCAAAGCCTGCAAAGGGCCACTCTGTAATACCTAAGTGATTGTCCATCTGGCAAAGCATCTTGGGAATATTTTCATCCTTCTCGTCATCCTCCTGGAGGACTGGAGACATATTCCAGATCACAACCTTCCCAGAATCCTGTCCTGGAATGAAGGAGCAAAAATAATTCAATGTGCAATAAGTAGAAATTTGATATTAACTCTGAGACACAGTCCTCATTTAGCTTTCATAAACCATAATGGACTAGATTGGAGGAGACTAAATTTGCATTACTAATATATGGAAAAGATGAAGAAAACAAGTGTTTACGGGGATCAAAACTGATGTGGATTTAGTAGTAGGCTGAGGCCAACCTGACTTTGAAAAGAACTCTGCACTAAAAAACAGGAGGGCACTGAGGTCTGGTCTGGCCTCTAACACAGATCTCTCCAGACTCCCAGAAGGTCCTCATCCAGGCCCAAGACCCAGATTCCTCATCTGTAAGATGAAGAGCTGGAAAAGTTGATGTCCCAGGACCCTTTCAGGACCCAAGGATAGCAGCACATCCCTGTTGGTACTTCGGTCCCTTTCCAGATGTTGCCTGGTTCCATGGCTGAATGAAATGTGCCCTGAACATAGGAAAAAAGGTTCATTACCTTATCTGCCCTTTGCTTTCACCTGCGGATGGGAGATCAACTGAAAGAGGGCATTTACTGTTCTAGTGTTATAAAGTGATACAGTATTCTGCTAAAAAATTTATGTGTGCATCTTGGCAATGATTTTTCTTTCTAAGCTTTCCATTACTGATACCTAATGAAAAGTCTAGCCCCTCATTGAACTAGTTTAAAGATATTTAGAGGAGTAAAAACCACTAAATGCCTACGAATGGACAGATAAGAATTACCATAAGGCATACCTGAAACTGCCTATTGGCCACTATGTAAAAATATTTCCTAAACAGCTCTTCTTGACCTTACTCTATTGAGGAGGGTGGGAAGGTATGCCTCTTCTTACGGATGAGGAAAAAACCCAGTCCCTCAGCTTAGTCCAGTGGCCGTAGGTGACATCATGGGCACCATCTGGGTATAGCCCACAGCATGCAGGAAGGAAATCAAGACCTCCCTGCATACCCCTGCAGCAGGAAGTCTATAGACAGCCCACTCTGCAGCACCCAGCCTGAGGACCTGGAACTCACAGAAGCACTCTTATCCAGGGAGTCGCTGGCCAGAGAAAGACACTGCTCTGGGGTGAAGCTACCAGGGACTGGGCTCTGGGAATGCTATTTTATGCCACCATATATATATCTTGGTGTAGTGGCCTGATAAATGACTGTCTTTCTTAGCAGGGCTATTATTGTGACACCGCAACACTGGATGTAGTACACTGACAATGCTATGGACCATATTTTCAAATGGCATGGGCATTTTACTTGCCTACAGGATACTTGTTCTCTAACTCAGCCAAATTCCTCTGAACCCAGAAAATGGGCCTAATAACTACACGACTACCTCCATAGTTCAGTCACCTCCTCCTCCTTTTCAGATGAGCAAGTGTGGCCAGAACAAAGATGAGGAACCAACCTTAGCCTCTGGGACTGGGGCTCTACCCCTGGGACCACCTGCCACTCTCCGTGTTCAATAAGTTGGGGCTTGGGGATGCAAACTGATTTTAATATTAGCCCAATGAATAGGAATTAAAAAGATACACCCACTATCAAAGTATTTATACAGAGCAAGCACACTAGAGCCAAAAAAGAATTTTTATTTAACCTATTCAGATAATAGATTATAATTATACATTTTAAATGGAATCTTATCCATACTGAAAAACAGAAGTGTTCTATTTTCAGCTCAGTGGACAACCAGGAGAAGCAGAGTAAGGTGGCAGGGCTGTGAGTACTCCCTCTGTTACTCTGTGAACGTACCTTGTCCTCCAGTTGCGAACTTGGTCCCGTCAGGGTGAATATCAACTGAAAAAATTGGCTTGCCTAGAAACAAAGAAAAAAACACACACACAACGTCTACCTTGGCTTGTATTCATTGGACAATATCAACAGAGTCAAAAATTTTGAAATGGTGGTTATCTGAGTAATATCTTTAATCACTGCTCCTAGGAAAAAATAATAGGCTGTTGATAAATTATCTGTAAGGGTGGAGTGATCTAACAGTTTCAGTTAAAGTATAAACTGCTGGAAGACTCTCCAAGTGACATTAAATAGCTTAGTCTAAAAGTGGCACAAAGCATTCTGTCACTAGAACAACTGAGTCCACAGATCGCCTGGGCACTTGCACAAATGTCCAGCAGACAAGAGCTGGCCACCTTCTGAGGACACACAGTTGTAAAGGCTATGAGCAGGTCACGACAACAGCTGAGTCACAACGGCTATACCTCCAGCCATCTCCCCATCCCATGGATCTGCACTTGGCTGACAGCCTGGACACATAAAGCACCCTGGCCTTTTTGCTTCACTGACAGCTGGGCAGGACCAGTAGCTGACTGCGATCACACGCATCACTTCCCTCATCATGCTTCTGATTCCAAAAGACCTCCTATACATTTGTGCTGCATCAAAGTCCATGGAAAGTCAGCATTCTCAGCATCTCCTCTGGCTGAACTTCCTCTACAGGATGAGCCCTCATTCAACCAGATGTTCAGTCTGTCTAGGGGGAAGGACTATAGCTACTAGCTCCTAGAGTGCAGGGTGCAGACCCTACCAGGAGCCCATGAAGCTAGGTAGCTAGCTATAGCTTGGTGGACCAGACTGGCAAAGGCGTCGTGACAGCTTGAAACCCAGCAGACTAGAAGTATTCCTGGGGCCTGGGGCCTGTGGGCATTTGTCTGGCTCCCTCATCTGCTTTCATGGTAAGAGTGGCATGTCAATTGTTGCCGTGTTCGTTACCACATTCTCAGCTTCTAGCATAGGTCTGGTGAGTGGTGGCTCAGTAACATTTGGTTAGTGACAAATTAGATGCATGATGAATACCGGCAATCACTGATATAGTCAAGGTGCTATTGCTGAGGAGTATCTTAGTTGAGCATGCTTTGTCTCTGTTACCCAAGAGGAGTTGGCATGGACACCAGAACGAGGGTTACCAGCTCTAGAATCACATGGTGGCAAGTGCAGGCAGGGAGGGGCAGGGCAGAGGCAGGTGGTGGCTGCCTAAGAGCTCAAAATCCTGCTAGGGCTAGTGCCTAAGTGTAGAAAATAAAATATTGGTACTCAAAAAGGCAATGGCCAGCATGGGCCCCAAGAAACAGCCAGCTCACCTTACCTTCTTCTGGATAGCCATACCCCTACAGGCAAATTGAGCCTGAGCTTCCACAAAACAAAGGGAAATGTGCTCTCTTTCTTGTCATGTGGTAGTGGGGAACACAGCTGTGCAAGGCCAGTATCAAGCAGGTGTGCCAAATGCAAGGGACCCATTTTGTCTCAGAGAACAAGGAGAAACCCTAGGAAAGTTGGAAATCACATTACATGTTATTTCGTCTCTTCTACTTACTGAAATCCAAGACAACACAGCCTGCTACAAGCCCCTGACATCATACTGGCAGCTCCAGTCTGGTCCCTGAGACCCTCGGTCACCTCCAGGTACATACTCAAGAGTCGGAGCTCTACAGTGAAAGGTGAAACTTAGCCAAGTGGCTACCGATCGCCTTCCTAGAGCACATGCATACTCAAAGCTGTCCCAAACATATAGGAAATTCAGCCCTGGTCTGATCTGAGCTTTTACTCCAAGGGTTCCCAAGACAAGCCCCAACACAGCTCGGCACTCTTATAGCTTTGAGGGAGCCAGAATCAGCAGTGGAGCACACTCCGGGGGCATGAGGAGGGAGAGTTATTGCAAGTTGTTCTTCCATAGTCTAGATGGCAGACCCTAATTAGTCCCATCTTCATCTTCGAAAGAAGAATCCAGAAAACAATATACAGTAGGTAAAAGAAGGCAGGTGCTGAGAACACAGGTGAGAAGGACTGGGAATGCTCAAACTGGTACCCCTGTGCCTGTGCACTCACAACTACACTGGCACACCACACCCTTCCTGGGTCAGGTGGCTGTCAGGTGTGCTAAGCCAGAGAGCCTGAAATGCTGCTGCTGAGAATGTGCCACACTTTTCCACAGGCTGAGGACCTGGGAGGGAAGCAGTAGCAAGAAGGTGGATTTCTTGCCCATCTGGGCCATGACAAATGCCTGATAGGGAAGCCTCAAGAAACAAGAAAGGACAGTAGGGGCTCTGGGCCCAGGCTGTGCAGACCATGGCACTTACTGCTGAGACTAAGTGAGGTTCAGAGTCCTGCCAGACACCAGAGGAAGGCAACGATTAGTACCACTAAGAGCTTTGTGAAATTCAGAAGAGCAGATGTCTCCCAGTACGGTGAGGACACTGGCGAGGAGTGTCAACCCCCTTAGCACCACCATCTCTACTCAGGACCTCCCAGGAAGCTGCAATGGGCCAGTCCTTGGAGGTACCAGCCAGCTACTCCTTCCAGGAGAGGCAGAGTCACACTGGGGTAAGCCCTGTGGACCTCTTCTTCCCAGTCCATGACATGCTCTAATGAGCATCTGATGTGCCACTCAAGCCCTGCAGGCAGCACAGCCCAGGATATTCTCTAAGTTTCACAGTGTCCTCTGAAGTAGATAGTTCTGACATCCTCATTTGACAGAGGGGGAAACTGAGGCACACAAGTTAGGAAAGTTGCCCAAGGCCACACAAGCTGCTTTTTCCAGAGCCTGAGATTCAAGTATGGAAATGTACTTCTCCAGGAGAAGCTAGGAGGGGATACTCCTGGAGATGCTGGAGGGCTAGGATGACACTGCCTGCAGGGAAGTGATTTAAAGCCTACAGATGAAAGGTGAAGTAGAGAGACAGAGCACCAGTGAGAGCTATGCATATGTGCACAACTAGTCCCGATGACCTGGGCTTGGCCTTGGACTTGCTATACTGAGCACTGATCACCCCGGACACCTCAGTCCCACAGGCCGGGGGAGGCAGCTATCTGATTAGGCTCTACCGAACCACATTTCCCCAGGACTCCTGCCCTTGTGTGTTTTCCTCTCCTTGAATTTGGGCTGGCTCTCTGACCTGTTTTAACAGAATGTGACTGAAGTGATGCTGTTCTAGTTCTGAGCTTAAGCCTCAAACAGGTCCAGTTCAACTTTTGACTTCTGGAGAAGCTGCCATGTGAGAAGTTAAAGTACCCTGAGACCACCATGTAGAGACCTCCAAGCTGGCCACATAAAAAGGGTCAAAGAACCCAGACAACAGTGAGAATCAAGGCCCTGGCACAGGACCCAGACTGACCTGTTCTGGCCCCAAGCTGCTCTAGCCACCCCAGCAGATTCTATGCAGAACTAAGTTGAGCTGTCCCTGCTGGGCCTGGCCAGGTTTCACAATCACAAATAAATAATAAAACAGCTATTGTTTTAAGCCAGCAGGTTTTGGGGGTAGTTTTTTATACAAGAGACTACTCAAAATGCTAATTCATTCACTTTTCTGCCTAAGGTAACTGGATCTGCATACTTGTCATTTTCACCAAAAAAGTTCTAGCTGACTCAGCGACAGTCTTGAGAAGGCCATCAGGGAGGAGTATCCACCTGACTATAGGAGTGCTTTTCAGTTCCTTAAGTATATGAGACATTGTATGTCCCCTCAAGAAGTACATCAAAATCACTTAAGTGCAAGCCAAAGACAAGCCTGACTCCCCAAGAACACTCAGAGTAGAGGCTACCTTAGCAGAGGGGCTCTGTTGCACAGGTACTCGTCATAGCACGAGTCTTGACCACTAACCCACTCATAGCATCAATAGGATGTTTTCTCATCCATCCACCTTGGTGGTTGTCTGCTATGAGCCTGCTCCTGGACTAAGTCGAGGGAAAGTAAAGCTGTGAATGGCTCAGCTCTGCACTCAGGAAGCTCCTAGTGATGGATGTCTGCACAGGTGGAATGCTACCTAAGCTTGGCCTTCCTACAGAAATCACAATTGAAGTGAGTCTCAAAGGTTGAGGAGAAGTCAGCCAGAAGAGAAGGGAAGGGAATGTCAGGCAGAGGGGATATGGCATGAAATGCAGAATAAGCCTGACAAGCTGCTGCAGAGTGTGGAGAGAAAGGAGGCTTGGGAGAGGGGCAGGGCCCAGCAAGGCACCACTGTGGAAAGCAGACCATCTTCTATAGCTATCTCTGAAGCAAAGGAATGCCACGATCAGATTCACATTTCAGCTCCACAAAGCTGTATGGAATGGGCTTTTGTTAAGACTGGAGGGAACTGTTAAGCTGGAGGGGGCCTTAAGGCTCCAAGGGAAGACAGAACTGAGGGCTGGAAATAGGCCTGGGTTAGAGCAATGAATGCACCTTGGTGGAATTCTCAGCCCTATTGCTCATAAGTTATTTAATCAGAACAATGGGGAAGACACAGTCACCCTTACAAGCACCTTCTGAGAGAGATTAAGAGGCCATGTCACATTGCTTTGAAGACGTCACATTTCACACGTGAACATTTGTGAGATCAAGATGTGCTTTGGTGAAAGGTGTGACTGAGGTAATGGGCACCATGTTTGCTTTTGTAGAGATGTGCCACAAAGCGGAAGAAATACGGTAGTGCACCTACACAAAGCCACGAACATAGTGCTGGCTCCCTACCTCCTTTTAGCACTAGTTTCTTCAGTCCAAGAAAAACAGTGGTTCACATTCCCTCAGTAGAAACAGACCTCCTTTTTTCTAAAGGGCTTTGAGGTACAGCTGAGGAAAAGGATCTATGGCCTGACTAGTTAGAAAACCCTTACTGTGGCACAGCACAATGATAAAGATGAATTCCCAACTGCCTCCTGCATTCCATCTTTCTTTGTACTGTGACAGAGACAAAAGAGAAAGTAATCCATTCCCTGGATCCTAGAGTTGCCAAGCAATGTCACATCCTCTGAATGACAACGGCCAGCATCCTCTCCCTGCACACCCACTAAAGTTCATTCTCCTTGGGGCTCTGCTTCCAGGTCC